TACTTATATTCTGTATATTATATATACGTTCTATAGACCAAATAGAACTTAATTTCTTATCCTCAGCTAACTAATAACTTTAACTACCTATAATTAGTTCCTAATTTCCTTCCTTCTTTTCGTCTATCCAGACTCACGGAATAATCACTTCTATTTATACANCTAACTAATAACTTTAACTACCTATAATTAGTTCCTAATTTCCTTCCTTCTTTTCGTCTATCCAGACTCACGGAATAATCACTTCTATTTATACAGCAACTTTTGCAACACTGATGTATAAGTTTTACATATACAACTAAGTATATGTAGATGTGATCTCTTACACAGTCTTTAAGGGTGATGCGGTGGCTCAATGGTAGAGCTTTCGACTCCAGATCGAAGGGTTGCAGGTTCAATTCCTGTCCGTGTCAATTCCTTTCTTTTTTTCATGATTTTTTGTTTCTATTTTTAATTGTTTTTAACCCTTTCTATTACTCCCAGCCACATATATGACACCATACAAAGTTCCCATAACAGAATGCTATGTATATGTCACCCATTTAGCTGTTTTAACCCTAGTACCTTGGTAATTATGGCTGAAAAGCGGTAATCGCACTACGAAACTGGAAATTTTGTTGACACGAATCGAATGGGATCGAATAGAAAAAACAGTGTTGAAGTAATTAACTTGGAGTAATACAACTTCAATTGATAGAAAATAAGTAAATACTTGTATTTTGAAAGTTTGTTGGAGCGGAATAATTGAATTTATTTGAAAATAATTTTCGTTAAGCTGATTTCAAGGTCATTTTTTCATTAAAGTACTATTTTTCAAGTCAAATTCAATAGAATAAAATAATAACAGAATGGTTGTTTTAGCTGCATCAATATGCACTCGTGGTGGTAAAGCTCTTTTATCTAGACAATTCAGAGATGTGACTAAGGATAGAATTACTGCATTGTTGGCGAATTTTCCAAGTTTGATTTCGAATTCTGGGTCACAACATACCACTGTGGAAGATGAATACGTTAGATATGTTTATCAACCATTGGAAGAATTCTACATAGTGTTAATTACAACTAAGCACTCGAATATCTTGCAGGACATCGACACATTGCATTTGTTTGCTTCGACCGTCAGTAACATGTTGAGGTTGGTGGACGAGAGAGAGATTTTTGAAAATGCATTTCAAATTCTAAGTGCGTTTGATGAAATTATCAACTTGGGGTTCAAAGAGAACTTGACGTTGTCCCAAGTTCAAACATTCTTAGAAATGGATTCTCATGAAGAAAAGATCCAGGAAATCATCGAAAGAAATAAGGAGTTAGAGGCTACAGAAGAAAGAAAGAGACGCGCTAAAGAAATTCAAAGAAAGGAATTGGCTCGTCGTAACTTGGAACAAACATCGGCTCCAATAATAAATTCTTCCTTTGGGTATGATTCTTATCAAAACCAATTCAATTCATCTAACCAGTCTACTTACCAACCAACACCAAGCATCGAGCAATCGGTTTCAAACACAACTTTAAGTTCGAAGCCTGTATCATCCAGAGGTGGATTACAATTGGGAAAGAAAACTGGCAGGGTTGCAGAACAAAATCAACCATTACTCACCCAAAATCAACCAAGTTTCAGTCATGCTGCTGCTACTCAAGCACAACTGCAAACTCCAAATCAACCAGCTTCTTTCCCAGTTTCGCAAACATCTTCTCCAGTTCCACAGACTCCAAAAGTCCCAAACAATGGTATATTAATTACTGTCAATGAAAAAGTCACAGCTGAGTTAACTCGTGAAGGTTCTGTCGTTCTGTCCGAAGTTAAGGGTGATTTGCAATTAAGAATCAATAATACAGAATTAGCAAGTTCTAAAATTTTATTGAAAACTGGTGATAAATCAAGTGGTGTTCAATATAAAACTCACCCTAACGTTGATCGTAATTTATTCACGCAACAAAATGTTATTGGATTAAAGGATAAGACTAAGCCATTCCCTTCGAACGATCAATCCTTGGGTGTATTAAGATGGAGAGCAGTTGGTAAAAATGATGATTCAAGTTTATTACCAATTGTAATTACTGCTTGGGTTACTTCTAACGATGGAAATGCAGATGTTACTTTAGAATACGAATTAACGTCTGATTATGTTGAATCTCATCAAAGTCAAGGCTCGTTAGAGAATATTAAGATCCTAGTACCATGTCCTTCGCCGGATGTTAATTTGAAGGACGAATCAGGTAACATTGGTTATGATGTCACTGAATATGGTGTTGTGTTCTCCATTGAATCAATCTCATTAGATGATCCTCAAGGATCTTTTGAATTTTCTATTCCTTCACCTGACGAAGATTCATTGTTCCCAATGGAGCTTCAATTCGATATTAATAAGACAGATGCCAATGAAACTGATACATGCTTAGGTAAGGTCCAAGTGCTTGATATTGTGTCTAATAATGAGGATGAAGAGTCATTGCCATTCGATTTACATTCTAATTTATCATCTGACGGATATCAAGTTAGCTAATACTTATGAACAGAAAAAAAACTGCCCCATAGTCCTCATTACTATGGTATAATCAATGTTATCAATAGATTTTATTAACTTCCTATTTTCTTTGTATTTAATTTCTGATTTTTCTAGTATTTATAGCTTTTCCCTTGAAAGGTTAGAAATAACAATATATATAAGAAATGTACAAATGGATTTATGCTACGTAAATCAGTACAAAAAGATTGTGTAAACTATTTATCTCTAAAGTAAAATAGATGTGCCATTAAGAGCAACAGAAAAGTGAATGCCTAATTTATATTTATGGTTAAGAATTTCAAGCTCGTTAAGTATTTCTCGCCTTGGATCAGACAGATTAGGAGCTTCTTTGACATGATTTATCACTACATTAAAACCAGCTAACGGAGTCATATTATGTCTGTTAGAAGATGGAATCAATGCAAGGATTTCATCATTCAAAACTCTTAATTCATTAATCAAATGCGTAGGCATTATATGGCCATACAATTCATTAGTTGAGACTATTTGGCATGTCGAGCATTCTAAAATAATCCCCTTCAATTGTTTCTCAGGTTGTAATAGCATGGGTGCAATTTTGCACCAGATTCGTTTATTTTTACCCAATTTCGAAACTGTATCAGATTCGAAGTCTCCAAATATTAATACACTCGAATTAGATAATTCATGTGTTACTAAAAACGCAGACGATATGTAGTTGTTATAATTTTCAAAGTTGTCATCATAAGTGTGATGTGAATAATTTGGCGACTCTGGTCTCTGAGAAGTATTGTCAACATGAGGAACCATTTTTCCATGTGAAAGATCAAATATAGTAATCGAATAAGTATCGTTTATGGAGAATGTCTGCCAGTATTCGTGTGATGATAATTTAACCATGTTAAATTTAGACATGTTTGGCCAAACTAATCCATTGAAAATATGTTTTTGTAGAGTATCGATAGTCCCCTTAGAGCCATACACATTTTTTGGTGAATCCTTGCAGAACCCAGCAGAATTTATTATCAATGCAGCTATATGGTCCATATGAGCATGGGATATCAAGTAATTGTTCATCAACTTGAATATTTCTTGGGACTGTTCATATGGTGATACCGAAGCAGACAACTCTGCAAACGGCCTTGTAATCTTAGTCTTGAAGCATTGCTCCAACGAAAGCAAGTCATTATACATTCGCAGCTGTTTGGATTGCGGTGATATATTGTGTAGTTCATTATATATCAATTCACTTAGCAGTCCAATACCAGAACCAGCATCCACACATATCAATTCATTGGGTAAATTATTCGATAAAATTTCATTGTAAGATACATTGCTAGACTTCAACAACATTGAGCATGTAATGCCTTCTACAGGACCACCCGATGCCCCTAAGAAGGTTATCTCAAAGCTCATGTTAGTATAGTTTTGATTACGAAAGTTGCTGTTCGCAACAAAACTGACCCTTCAAACTATGATGAACGTAGAGATAATATATCTATAGAACTTCTATAAATATCAAATTCTGTCGTCTAGTATGCCAGTGTTTAAATGATGGATTGCTTATGCTTTGAGGCACAAAGAATTGGATGCGGATAGACAAGTAAACTTAGATTAATTAAATACTAGATGAGTTTATATTTGTGTGAGATTTGTGGGGAGTGGAACCACATTCTATTTTTCAGTGCAAATATAGACATAATCAGCAAAGACTTTGCAAGTTTACAACAAGATCAAAGGGAATTGTCAATTACGGGTGAAATACCAAACTTCGTAAGAATAGTATGTTAGCAACAGAAATGCAATTCCCGAATACAAGGGAGAGGTTAATATATAGCAAGTACAAAGAAAGGAAGGTCAATACTAAAAAAAGACTTACTGCAGTTCGTATTCTTTTTCAATTTGAAAACATACATTTGACACAGTAGATGCCACCATTAATGCTAAAAAATAATTATTACTTATATTTGTAACAGTGGTAATAACTTACATATGAGCGTTAACAAGTCAGAGATGAGATTAAAGTTGGGCGCTACCATAGCCTCTGATATCCTGAGCAAACTTCCAGCTTTGGTTCTCACATTTCAAGTCCTTCTCGAACTTCAATTCCTCTCCCTTCTTTATGGTAACTAATGAAAATTTATCTAACGATCTAGCATCTCTATAGAACAAAACTCTCATACAATTCAATATGGCGTCTCTGGCTTGTTCTTCGGTGACATTTTCATAATCAGGATCCTTTGGAACCAACTGTCTTAACAATGGGACGGCTAGATGCGATCCAAACCCAGTGGATATAGCAGATGAACCGTAGGTAACTCCCAACAAATCAACATATTTTAAAAATGGAGTGCCATCGTCATTAAACCCTCCAACAACAAGCGCATTCCACAATGGGTTCATCTTCGATCTTCGATTATATAAAACTTTCGATAAGTACTCGTGGACATGTGGTGCTCTCAAATTGTGCCCTCCATCGTTATCATAAACCTCTTCCGTAGTCTCTAATTCCTCTAACAATCTCTCAAGTTGTTGCATATCCGAAATATCTCCAGAAACACCAACGATAGTTTCTTTTCCTACCCTAAGCAATCTTTCCATATTAGTGAATCTGAGCAACGAACCGTACGAACCTAAGTTATCTGCGGCCATGATTATTCCATCCTTGAATTTTAACGACACCACTGATGTACCGGTGATTATGGGTTGTTGAGTATTCATTTTTGGAAAATTCGTTAAGTTACAACTATCAGCATCATTACTGATTGTTGCATTGGCTATTTGATGGTTATATTGTCCGTAGACGTCGTTACGAGGTCTTCCCCAGCTTAACGGATCGTGATTCATTTTATTTATGCGTTATTAATATGTAACCAAATGAAATCTAGATAAAGAAACTATTCTATGCAAATAAAACACTTCAATGGACAATAGTAATGATCAATTGGTATAAATAATGTTAGTAGTTTGAACTGTTCTTTAGATAGAGTGGCAAACAAAAATCGTGTTCAGGTTTTTTGGTTGATTACATAAACATTCACTATGAAATGAAAAAGATCCATACACCAAAGACAGCAAAGCTTCACTGCAACGAACCATACGATGAGTTTCTGGTGCCATTAGAGTCCTTATACACTGGGAAAATCAATATGATAAATATAATAATATTGGAATATATATGCATACAAGAAATACAAATTTAGATGGAAATTTATTGTCGATTCAACACAAGAAAACCTGATCGAATATGAAAGAATGGTAGCTTCAATTGGCACTAGCTAGGCACTTTTAGACCGCAATAATCATCAACTACCACGAACCGAGACCGTGGGTTCACATAACATGTACTGGGCTGACAAACTTAAAAAATGAGCGTAGCACCACCACTACAAATATTTTCAATTTCGGCTTCACTAGGACCCTTATATCTGAATCTTGGGGGCAATTCGGCTCTGGAGAAAGATTCACCCTCCTCTGGTTCTATAGAGTTACTGTTGAAGTACGATGATTGCGATGACGAACCGGCACTTCCTGGTAATACTCCATCTGGTGCACATGGATGTGATTTAGCAGCATGTGAGACATTTTCTAGAAGCAGGGGTTAGTAAACACTCTCTCAATGTGTATTTGACATATGAATTGCTTCTAAGGCTTTCATTGGAGCCATTTCATCAATTATTCATATCCTCATTGCTAATGCCTAGCACCATAATTTACTTACTTGGAGCTTGGTGTGGACCACCAACGAATTTGATAAGGGGGACACGTTGAAATAATCTTGTAGCTGGTCTCATTATCTTTTTGGTAAATATATTTCGTACTTGAAGTAGTATAAGATAACTATTATGAGCATATTGGTTGGATAAAAATCGGTTGATTCCGGTTTACTCCAGGAACTTTTTTGACCCGTAAAAATGGCAGATATAAATACGCCGCACACAACTTGTATGGTTTAATAGTTCTATAATGACCACAAACAAGGTATGATTCGAGTATATAGGGGATATAGCAGTGATTTGGAAATTAAATACAGTTCAATATTATTATCAATACTTGAAAGGGATAGTAAAGAAAACCTTAGAAAAAAAAGGGCTCTTCTGGGTAAAATCTGAATAGCTGCAAATTGTTGACATACTGTATATTTTTCACATTTAACAAATTTAATTACATCCGATAATATATAGAAAAGGAACTGGAATAAGGGAAAATAATGGAGTTCCTTGACCTTCCAATGGGGGTTATTAGAAGGATTTTTTTTTTTATTTGCATTGGGCCAAAAGCCCGAGACTGCGACCAGGCGAATAGAAGCACTACAGATCTACTAAACATGCTCTATACGTGTAAAGAGTTATACGAGAACTATATATACATGGCTTATACGATGCGGCCGTTGGTTCTTAAGGATGACAGTGTCAGTTTATTCAATCTCTTTAATTTGAAGAAATATACCACGCATGGTTCAAAATGCATGAAGTATATTGGGTCCCAGAGATCAATTAGGGATAACACGAGGGCATTAAACGTTATAACATCGTCCAGTTTGTTTTATAAGAAGTTCAAGGTAGAAGAAGGAGAGACAGTATCTGAATTCGCTGAATCATTTAAGTTAACTAGGTTCGACCTGCTTTTACATTTGCATTTGCCTCAGTTTAGGATACTACATACACTAAACATACGAGGAAGACATATCAAATTATTGCTTTATTTCTGTTTCTTGCCCGAGAGTTTAAAGTCAATATCATTGTTCATTGATTATAAGGAGCATAGCTTTAATAATTATCAAGAACTAAACGCCATTCTTCGGGCGATAGAGAACAAAAAGACCAACGCAGCACTTGAAAATTTTCAGGTGTATTCTAATAACCCAATAATGCAAACGAGAATCCACAGCAATTTCTATCTTGTGAAGGGAAAACCGGTCATAACCTACAATGAATACTTCTCGACCCAAGTTGTATCGAAGTATGAGAAATACAATTTCAAAAGGAAAAAAGGGTTAGTCGTATTTGGTCTTATTATGTACAAACTTCTTGATAAATTCAGGAATTCCTTGAAATCCATAGAATTAGAAAAGGTTGATTTTTCTTTGATATTCAACTCGAGCATTGCCAATTCTACTTTTCATAAAACCGCCTACAATTTCCATTTTCCCACATTGCGGTTACTTGCCGTCGATAATATCTCATCATTAAAGCTCAACACATGGATTAAGGCCTTTCAAGAGGATAATTCAAGCTTCAGAAACAATAAGCCGCTATTCATTGTAATGCATGACGAATTGAGTGGCTATTTACATACTAAAACTGTTGGCTCTCATTCTGGGTTACCGAGAGGAATCCACCAAAGATGGCTCCATTCAAAAGATCCATTGAAAACTATGAGAAACATCAAGCTGGACCTAGATATAAATCTGTGAGTTAAAGAACAGTAATAAACCTCCGATGAATAGGGTCTATAACAATAAAAAAATAGGTGTCAGTAATGAAATGTACCATTATATTTATTCTATTATTCTTTTTTGCACCCATATCTTTGCTTATAAATTCTCTTACATTTAATTGAAGGGCGGTTTAGCAACATGATAATGAAATTTCCTCTTGGCATGAAATCATTGAACTACCAGTTGTCATTCCATTTTTCATTAAACTTTCTAGTGTAACAATTCTAATTGCAAAGTATTACTTCGTCTTGCAGCAGAAGCCTAGAATGATGCTTTTGTCCGTTAAATCCGGATTAATCACGTGTATCAATATCTGTAAGTATATAAGGACCATTATGACGTACTTCTAGCTTGCTGGCAAGTAATTACTCCCAGTATCATGTCTTCGAAAGCTGCTGTGGCCAATGAGAATAGTGATGGTCCATATTCCACCCGTATAGTGGAAGTTGCAAAACCAAAAGTGACAAACACAAGCGTCTTAATAAAAACGGTTGCAATAGCAGTGAATCAAATAGATTATTTATTGCTTGCAGGTAGGGTTCCCAAGGATGGAAATATCGTGGGATGTGAATTGAGCGGGATAGTTGAAGAAGTTGGTAGTAAGATTTCGCGAGTTCAAACTGGGGACTACGTGTCTGCATTTGTTGCAGGAGAGTGGTATAAGGTTGAAGGTGCATTCAGTGAATACGTTGCTGTTGATGAAACCGCGGTTATAAAACACGATCGGGCTTCGTTCAAAAGCAGTGCCTTGAAGCCCGGTTCGTATGAAGCAGGTCCAGTTGATTCCTTTGAAAGTGCGGCCTCTCAAAACTTTTCGCTTGCAACTGCAGCTGTTTCACTTTGCCATGAATTGGGGCTTGAAGCTAACCGCGATTATTCTGGGGAGAGTATATTGATTTGGGGTGGAGCCACAACTGTTGGCAGCATTGCAATTCAATTGGCGAAAAAAATCTACGGTTTGAGAGTTATTACAACTGCATCACCTCGGAATAAAGAATTCTTGATCAGTTTAGGTGCTGACGTTGTATTTGACTATCATGATAAGGATGTTATTGAGAAAGTTAAAAAATATGATAACAATATCAAATATGGGTTGGATTCAGTAGGAAGCGTCCCTACGTTCCAAGGGGTATACGACGCGACCGGCCAGAATGCAATTATTGATAATGTGTATTTGGTTTCTTCCTCCAATTTGAAATTAGACTCTAACCGTGACGTTGAGTTTAGAAAAGTCTTTGTGCACCTAGCAATATGTGACTCGAAATTTCAGAATGGGGACGTAATCAAAACTACGCCCGAGTTACTTAATCATTTCAAGACTTTTTGGTACGATGTATTGCCCAAGCATTTTGGACAACTTAAAACTACCAATTTAAGGGTGTTAGAACCCGGATTACAGAGCGTAAATACAGCAATGAAATTATTTGCTAATGGAGAAATTCGTGCTGAAAAGATTGTATTCAGACTCAGATAAGTATTATGATCAATTGACAAGGCGTATGCTTTTCACGAACAGCCAAGGCCACTAATATTTAAAATTTCAGTATATGTGTGTATTTACTGCTAATTATGCCAGCATGTTCGAATAATATATGTATCGTATTGAACGTATCAAATGTAATTAGTGGAAGCGTAGTTCGCCAATAGTTCTCGCTCGACAAAATCTGCACCACCGTACTCTTTTAAAATAGTTTTCATTTAATCGAACTTAAAAGAACAGTAAACAGCATAGATAGTTAGTACTCCTTAGACGAATTGAACGAATATTTCAAGCAAGACCATTAACCTCTTACCAAATTATTAATGAAGAACTTATGACATTCCAAAAAATCACCTTGAACAGTAAAATAACTACGATTAGAGATAATTGAATTAGCTATATAATAGTAATCTGAAGCGAAAACCCATTCCTATATCATCATTTTAGCACCGTAAGATAATAGTATAGATGCAAAATACCGGCAAATACGTATTGTGTTTCATGCACAACCATTTTTCGAGATTTTTTTAGAACACCAAATAGGTGTTACTATTGGTACTATAGTACAATTCGAAACAAAAGAAGACTAAAACGATATGAGCGACGCCAAGTTACAAAGAACTATTCTTCGGTTTAAGTCTAAAATAGAAAGCGGGGCTTACTATGAAGCACATCAAACATTGAGAACAATTACTAATAGATATGTCAAGTCAAATCAATATAATGATGCAATTGATTTACTATACCAAGGATCATCTATTTTATCATCAAATAAAGAATATGCTTCTGCCAGTGATTTGATAAGCTACTTGATTACTGTATACGAAGAAAGTGATACTAAATGTACCAATGAGGGAAGTAATAAGGACTACAAGTTGAAATTAATTGAATTGATTAGTTTATTACCAGATACAGACCCAAGTTTACCGGATTTAGCGAAAAACAGTATTAGCTGGTCCCAAACTGACAAATATAAGTTTGGTGATTGTGATTTGCATCATGCTTTTGGGATTAAGTTTTTGAATAGTGTTAAGGATGGATCCCACAACATTACTGAAGATGACAGACAAAAGTTATTTGCATACGCTGAATCTCATTTAATATTAGGTACACACGAATCCTTGCCGTTTTATATTGATTTCCTTTACCAGTGGTTTGAAGACGCTAAGAATAACGTGGATCCCGGTATCTTTATGAGCAGGGCAGTTATCAATTATGCGTACTTGAAAAACGTTAAGTTTGTGCAAGAGTCCATTAACAAGTTTATGTCCAAGCTTATAGTGCACCATAAGGACTACGAAGTTATTGAAGAAGGCGAATCCAAAATTTACTACTACCAAGACCCTGATTATCAATTTGTCAACTTTTTACAATTATTATCCATTACTCTTACCAAAGAGAATGCAGGACCAAAATTCATGAAGTTGTACGAACAGTATAAGAGTATGTTAGTAAAGTTCGGGTCTTTAGGTCCGGTTGAATATTTGGGTAGATTGTACTTTGGCTTAAGCTTGGGAAATCCTCAAGGCGGTCAAAATATGTTAGCAAACTTGATGGGTGGTTTATTTAAATAAGTATCGAAGCACACAAATACATAAACATATATATATATAATACAATTAATATTCGTCGACACCAGCGATTCCCTCGACATCCTTGATGATACAGGAGTTGTCTAATGCTTCAACCAATTCGGGCCTTTTTGCTTTTAATAATTCATGTTTAGCTTCTGAGTACGTGCACCACCTTCTCTGTCTTTTTTTCAGTTCTGGCCATTTGGAACTAAGTTTATCAACCACCATTTCATAAAAGTGAAACTCTGACTTGGGTATAACCCCACTTGGGTCAAAATCTTTTCCTTTCTCTAAGATTGGTGCTTTCTTACCTCTCGAATCTAATGCAATTGGTAACTTATTCAATATCTTTCCCTCACACCCGGCCTCCTCCCACGTTTCTCTTACCGCACTAACAACAAAATCATCCCCTTCATCAAGCTCAATCCCTCCTTTAGGAAATACCCATCTATTCTTATGAGCAGTAGACAGAATCATTATGACCTTATCTTTGGTAGCATTCATGCAAATGCATCCTGCCACCATTCTTGCATTAGTTTTAGGGCTATATCTCTGATTTTCCCTCCCAACCCTGGATTCATTAGATTTACTAGGTAAATTGGGATTTTCTGACCCTATATCGTCACTCATTATACCAGTTAATGTATAAAGTAGTTGTAAATTGAATCCAAACGTGGTCATAATAGTACCTAAATACTTGAATAAAATCACGTGCATAATAATAGATATGATCGACTTCATAGTCAACAGAGGTTTTACATTAGTTGGTAGTTTAGTCGAAGAGATATACATTAATAATGAAGATATCTTGTTATTTGTTGGCGTATTTGATTACACAGGCCGTAGCCCATGGGAATCACAATGAAGCTAATAAAAAACCTGATGGGTTGAGCTGGCAAAATTGGCATATGATTGAAGAACATCAAATGGATCAATACGATACCGATTCATTCTTCAAGATTCATGACTTACAAAATAAGGGAACCTGGTCTAGAGATGATATCTTAAACTTGTATGGTTTATTGAGAGAATCAGTCGTAGGTGACGGATCTGGCATGGGAGAGCATTCTCACCAACAAGAGTCAATAACTCAGGAGGCAAAAGATCATGTGGTCAATTCTATTCTTGAATTGATCGACAGTGATGGAGACAGACAGATCTCGTTAAATGAATGGAGACAATTTTCAAAGAAAGGAGAATTACCTGACTTTGGATATGGTCAGGGACATCATTTGGATTTTGAAACAGAATACGAAGAACATCATTGGAACAAGTACCACGCCAACCAGGATCCAGACGTATTAATAAAACATAGAGAAGACATAGAACACGAATTGTTGCATCACGAACACGAAATTGAAGAGTCCCACAACGCTGCTCCCGATATCAGAAAGGTCACTGACAACTACTTATCAGACATCCGAATTCAAAATGTGCCTTCAAAATATAGAAGTCAATAGTCTACATATATAATTCCATGATATAGTTTTGTATTTAGCTCCCATAATGACCATGTATCCTATAAACTAGAAGACTCTCACCAGTGTCCTATGCTGATACATAAACCGGAAGAATCCCTGTATCTATTTTTATCTCTGCCCCTAAGAACAAATCTATATAATACTCATTTATATCATCTAGGCACTTATTTATCTAAAGAACCAAAAGCACAATCTCTTAAGCTTTGCAAATCTTGCGAGCATTTCTTTTGATCACTGCCATTCATCTTCAAACATGCCTCGTACGCTTGTAACTTCCCAGAACAAACTCCTTGGATCTTCTGGAAAGCTGGAACATCTTTTTTAATACATCCGGCTAAATTATATTGCTCTAAAGCACACTGATTTGCATCTGGTGCAGGTTTCGACATACATTGATGGAATGCTAAGAACTGTTGAGGACAATGACGTGCAATATCTTCGAGTAATATTTGATCAAGAAGACCACTTTGACCTGTAGACATCTTAAAATTGGTTATATATTATAAAAAGTAAGTTAAAATAATATATTTCACCAGCAAAATAACAATAATTCAAGTCTGGCAAATGTTGCAGCAGACCAAACCGATAATTTTCAGTCAGAATTGACCCGCACAGATTTGGCAGAATTTAATAAAGAAATTGTATATTGAATGATGTGAAAGAGATATTAGACAAGTACGGATGGCATATTTCTCGAAACTTCCGCATGGTATTAGGACCACGTTAATAACATTGACTTGGTTTCCAGTTTTGTATACATTTTCAAACCATGTATATCAACCATGCCAAATAACAGGTATGTCAATGACACCTACGTTTAACCCGGGCACAGAAACTATGACTAAGGATGTTGCGTTAGTCCAAAAGTTTAACCTTAAAAAGCCTAGCTCATTGCATAGGGGTGATGTGGTAATGTTTAGATCACCACAAGACCCTGAAAAGTTGCTAACTAAGAGGGTGGTTGGCTTGCAAGGTGATGTGATTGCGACCAAGACTCCTCCATATCCAAGACCGCAAGCCACAATACCCAGAAATCATTTATGGGTCGAGGGGGACAATACGTTTCATTCTGTTGATTCTAATAATTTTGGACCTATTAGTCAGGCATTGGTTATAGGGAAGGTTGTTGGGATTATATGGCCTATTTCTAGGTTCGGAACTGATATTTCGGAAGGTGGCAGGGACGCAAGAAAAAAAAACGATAACTTACAGGTGAAACTGTTGGATGATATTAAATAGGACAGGGGAATTTGTTTTCATTTGCATAAATATTAATTTCTATACACCTAGAGTGTGAAAAGATATTCTTAACGAGAATTTAGACACCGCATGATCTTGTTCCCTCTTTTGATAATCCAAGGATCCAATCTAAAAGGTCCGAACTCATCATTTATGCTATACGATCCACGATTTCGGCTCAGCATTTCTGTCCTATGTATGCTTGTTAAGGGTTTAGTATAGTCCACTTCTAATAGAGTTTCCTCATCGAAACACTTGTTTCCAATATAGTCATATTTGCATATATAGTTTGGCACCCATAAATCTAATACTGGCCTGAAAATATGCTCAGCATATTGATAGTAGAGCAATCCACGATTGTATTCTCTTTGTAAGATTTGTCTAAATCCTCTTGGTACATAAGCTAAAGATCCTTCGAATAGGGTAGGAATTAAAGGATCTAAATCTTCAAGCGTGTAAAAATGGTTATCTTTACAGTTGAAAATATTCTGATGATTCCAAAGCTCTGCTTTTTTGAGAGACAAATCCTTATGAAGATCCTCTTTCAGAACTGTGTGTGAGGTATCCTTCATAACAAAATCATTGTCTAAGACCTGATTAAACTCAGAAAATGCCTTATCGTTTATTGGGATATCATTAACTGTATTTGTGAATGCTAAAGCAGTGATATCAACATAGAACCCAGTTTCGGTATCAATAAATCTAGCGTCTATGGTATTTTCACCTTCACCCTTTTGTCTATCGAAGTACGTGGAACTAACATCCAACAAATAGGAGCCGACACCTAGGTTTACATTATAGTCTTGGTCGGTTAGATCAAGTACCAAAGTTTGATTGTAATACTTTGCTACCGTTATCAATGATTTCATAGTTACTTGTACATCTAGATCTTGATCCCAGGGTAAGTTCATGCCATTCCAATACCAGCCCAACATAGAACCATGAGCAATCCAGGTTTTGATACCTAATGTGTTGGAAAATCGCAACCATGCTCGAGTTAATCGATGTAATATAGCTTTTCTCTCATATTGGGAATAATGTAATTGCTTGAAAAATCGCCAATCGTAATGATTGTCTTTTTCTCCAAGAACCGTAGCTTCATGAAAATATTTTTTCTGTGTTGATTTGATCGTGTTGATCTGTGATAATGTTTTTGCATCAAAAGCATTCGAAGATCGTACTAACTTTTGTTTGAGTTGACGTTTAAATTCGGCTAAATGGAAGAAAAAATCGTCCTTTGATAATATTTTCGAGTGACTATCACCACATCCAATAAGCCGAAATATATCATGAGTTAATTCTTCATCTGGAATATCTGAGATATTAGCAATTGGCAGAGATAGTAATTCTTTTAGTTTGCCGGCTTCTTCATATATGCTTATACCCTCATCAATAGCACCGCTTAAAGGGATTACAGGGCTTTTTATGAAATGAAACAAATCACTCTTTCCATAAAAAGGTTGTTCCCTCATTGAGCATGTAGGAATTATAAGACCACTTCTATTTGGTCCTACCCCAAGCAAAAAAACTTTTTCAGGAGGAGGTGCAGAATGCAATAAGTATGAAGATCCAATAATCTTTCTTACTTCTTCAGATGCAGATAAGTCTACGGGTTTAACTATTTTAAACCGAATGTTACCTTTGGTTTCACTTTTTAAGTCCTCACAACTTTCTAAAAATTCGGTCCCATTGAGTCCATGAACATCGTAGAATGCACCACAATCAAGGTTTGTTAGTGACGTGTGTGGAATATTAAGTCTTGACTGCAAATCAAGAAATGTGTTCCAAGTAAATGGAATCAGTAGATCATCAACATTTTTGAAATTATCTTGCTTCAATTTAAGCGAGAGATAAGATAACCATAACGCTGGTAGTAGTCTAGGGTCATACTCGTTGCAGAGACTGCAATAACCATTATTAGGCAGTTCTATACACCCTTTACCTTTGTCATCTATATATGCATTAGAACCACCCGGTATATATGACTTCGTTAACATTTGAAGAACAGGCACTGTACATGAGTCGATATTATATGCATCTATAATCAGTAAAAACTCAGGTTGATTCAAAAAAAAATCCTGAAAAAACCCTTGAAAATACACATAGACGGCTAAATGACAAATAGAAACTACTGAGAGTATCCGTACTAACTTGGATTTACCGACAATTGCAAAAATTAACCCTATCGTATTTATCAAAAATGGTAAAGATTTACTGTCAAAAAAAGTTAGGACTTTTAGTAATTCTACCATCTCCTTTCTTTATTGTCAAATGGATCCAGAATGAATAATACAACAGTATTGTCGATCAAAATTCATACTAGGTCTACGATATTATAATTGCACATCTTTTAATTTGATAAAGAAAGATTAGCATTGGAATAATAACACGGGTCGTGTGAATACCTCAACTCATCAGGTGTAGTCTCTTATCTAGACATAAACATCTTTTGATTTTTTCAATATTTGCAAACAATTTCTTTTCTTTCTTCACAATGCTACTAGATATGCGACCAAGGAGCAAATAATTGTGACTAAATATTATCGGAATATTGTTTTGTATGACAACTTGTTAAAATAGGCGATTTGGTTGAGTGCCTGGCGTATAAAGCGTTATTTAATTTAAATTTGTAGTTTTTTGCTTCTAAATGAGTATTTGACCAAACGTCTTTTAGGTACATACATGTATTCTTTGTTAAATAATATGTGATTCACTTATTTTGATCAAAGTTGGCTGAAAAATGTTTGTCCATTTTGTTTTAATACGCATAATTCAAGCAAATTCATATTTTATGCCTCCAGCTTAGCTTTATTCAAAAAGCCATGAGTAGCAATAATGTTCAGAATATAGTCATATGTTACTTATTTGGATAGTTAAACTCTCAGTTTCTTGTTAACATTGACGCCCATTTTCGTTACTTTTTTATTATATTTAATGTAAGTGTTATAGACTGTAGTAACGAGAGGATAACAAATTGTACGCTAGATAAGCAGTTGTTTTAATTATATCATGTTATATAGTTATATCCTTTAACAATTCAATAGCCCATAAATGAAACTTGACAAATATTTGGTTATCATCTGTTAATTCAACCAAGGATTTTGGCCTGATCAACGATCTTCGCAAGTATCTTTCATTATCAAACATGGCACCGTTGGCGTTACTAGCCTCTTTCTTCATGATTGCATTATTAATGACAATGTCCACTTGCGCTTGTATTAAGGAAATTATCTCGTTCAAATATGTCGCTATTATATCCCAATTCTGAAGAAGCTTTATTTCAGAATCAGCTATGACCATGAGCGAATATTTTCTTTCTGATCCACGGGAACTTAAATCTTTAATCTTAAATATTTTACTTATGCAATACCCATTAACCACGTCTCCGTAAAATATTGGCTTTGAGAGATCAGTTGTCGTTTCCACCGATAATGACTTCATAATTAGTTTGGTTAGCGACGTATATCGCTGCTGCGATGATGGGTAATGTGTAGATATATACACTGCTTGGTTGTTAGATTCATTCTTATTGTCCACGGTTGTAACCAAATTCACTGCATCATCCGGAAGGATAAGCTTGCATGAAGCACACGAATGCAACTTCGAAGTATTTCGTAATAAATGTTCAGATTTATCTTGTAATGTGGTCATCTGTGTACATATTATCGTAGATGGTCCATGTAGCTCGCAAAAGTGAGCTAGACAGGCTATAAAGTTTACCATGGTGTTTATATAATCTGTGTTTTGATTGTTAAAAGACCACTCATCCTGGTTTAAATAATCTTGCGAAATATGAAAAATAGTTTTATCTACTCAAGCATCTGACACAATTTAGTGGATGACAATGAGATTAAGATGGAGTATGATAATGATTATAAACTAAGAAGCATAAAGAGAATATTCTTACGAAACTTATACTTGGAACTGGAGTCCAAACAAGAAAAAAATGGTAAACATACAGATGTAACGACAATCTCACCTAGAAGGGAAGAGGTGATAGGAAGACGCAGGAGCTTATTTCAATCAATTACACAGTTTGATGAAATAACGAATATTGGATTGCTACATATAAATACATTGAAATTAGTGGATTCATTCTTTACGTTACATGTGCCATATATGAATGAAAACTTATTAGTTTATGTCAGTGAAGATATCGCATCTAATATGAATCCTAATTTCAGACAAATAACATTGCCAACATTACCTCATTGCAATTCGCCAAATTTGATACTAAAGATATGGTGTAAAACAAACCAAAGCAGTCAATGGAAATTGTTCTACAAATATGATATTGACTTGAGGAAGTTATGGTATATTGGGGATTCATTGACAGACACAGAGAATTATTTCCATAGTAATTCGGTGATATTTAATTTGAACAACCGCTATTATACAATACCTGGTTCTTTAATTGTTGACCGAGAGAGAATGATCGACACTACCTCTAGTGCCGATTCGAAACATATTTTACCGTCATATTCATTTGATTCGATTCGATCATTAAACAGTATATCCAGATCATTGAAGGAGCTCATGAAATCAAAGAATAAAATATCCATACAAATTAATGAATCAGTAAATAAATCAAAAGATTCGTTGAAGAGTTTATATAATTCAGATGATATAAATATCGAACAAGGAATGTTGTCAACTGAAAATGCAAGCTTGGATAAGTACATAGAAAGACAAGAAAGCATAAACGACAAAATAATGTCTGATATAATGGCAAAAAGGATTCAAATCAGTCACTTGAAACAAGCAATTAAGGGAACTATACCGTCTAAGATTGAAATGGCCACGAATCATATAGAGGTTGTAGAATCACAAATTGCACCAATTCATGAATCGTTAAACAAACAGATTTACCCATCAATTGTTCAAAGCTTACAAGAAGCAACTCATATTCTAAAGGAGATTATATTTATTGAAAATTTCGACAATAGCATTAAATTCACAATTATGGGACTAGAGTTCCCTCTGAGCATCCAAGATTTACTAGACATTTGTTACTACAATAAGCATGATTTACATAATTACAATACTGGCGAAGTTAAGTTCGCAAATGAGATAGAATCCCATCAAATGAAAGTCAATCAAATCAATGCTGGATTAAATTATATTGTCCAGTTAATTAATCATATCGCGCTAGTAACCAATACTAATTTAAAATACAAAATGTATTCCTATGGGAATTTCTGTTATGTATTGGATCCTATAAGGAGTGAGGCCAGTCAAAATCTTTTAAAGTATCCATTATACTATGATCAAGGACACACATTGAAATTACCAGTTGATCGACAGCGATGCGACAGAAAATTAAACTTGCAAAACAAAGGCTTTGAAGTAGGCCTCGATTTATTGAACAAGAATTTGATAAGCCTTATTAACGACGTGGCTAGTGATTATGACAAATACTACAAAACAATTAAAAAGCCACTGGTTTCTGATAATATTCCTGTTGACTGTCTAGATAATTTCTTATGGAATCTACAGTATCTCGTGTTGTTTATTACCGCTCCAACTAATATTAAGTCAGTATAGCTCACGCTAAAGTTGACAGCACGTAAAATGATACGCAAAAAATGCATACTTTAATAGCCTATTGTGCTTAATTATCCTTGGACAACCGTTTTAGAATTATAGTATCATTGCTCGTATAATGCTTGCAATCTTTATCTAATAATAGTATTGCAGAACTAATGGATACGAAACATTAAATGCCGTTAAACAGATTCGAATTGAGGTGTCTTATATATGTGTTACGATCTAGTTGGTAATATCAAGGTGTATAGTAAAACATAGCATGAGGAGCTAAATGGCTTAAATAGGAATTTAGAGTACTAACTATTTGTTAGTAGATGTATTAATATTTATTATAACTTTACTATAAGGAAGATGAAGCATAAAACAAATAAAAATAATCTTCTTGGTTGACTTACAGATTAAAGTAATAAGCAGCCTGCGATAACACCAATAGCACCATAACCTATTCCATTTGAATTTGAACCTGCAGTGGAGCTACTGGAAGTAGAACTACTAGATGTACTACTACTGCTAGACCTGGTCTTTGCAGCAGAGCTTGAAGCACTGGCTTTAGCACTGGATTTTGCACTCGATTTAGCACTCGATTTAGCACTGGAACCGGAACTAGTTGAATTCTTCTTCGAGGATGATGAAGATGCCGCTCTCTTGGCGATACCTCCGTCAATTTGGTAATCGTCTGTTTGAGCAGAAACTGTAGCTGCAACTAAAAATAAGGATAAAATACCTGAAGCTTTCATGGTATGTGGAATATAGAATAATATAAAATTTGTATCAAGAGCTTGAAAGAGAGTAAGCCTTTTATACCTTAGAGACTAGCAAGAGCCATAGGGGAAGCTATAATTACGACCACGTAGACTGAAATTGAATCCACGTTTATGTTATGACTTTGACGGCACTGAATACCATGTAAGCCTTCATAATTATTACTTGGCTATGCTCACCAGTTTGCTTCAGATCACTTAGACTTACATACAATAAGAAGTACCGATTGCAGGTATAAGCCTTTAACAATGTATCTATCACGTCAAGTAAGTTACGACCTCGTATATTCAATGTGTCAAAGTAAACAATAGCGAAGTGTCAAAAATATTGGCTTAGATATATTGCATTAATATCTTGGTCTTGCACAATATTGGGCTGAGCTTGGAATAAACATTAAGGTAATAATATTCAAGAGGAGGATGACTCTATAACTATACAAGGCGCATACTATGTAAACATGTTGTATTCATTAATAATAATACACTATTTGCGGAATTCAAAATATAACTGGAAACTAGTATCACCCCATAAACCCCCCTCCGGCAAGGCATAGGTTTCTTCTCGTAAAATGAACTTTGTAAATAGGGGTCTTTTTGGCAAAGTACGCGGTCATATGGTCACTGGTAGCTATGATTTCCTTTCTATTTGATTTATCATTTTTAAAGTTCTGTGAGTTGGCATTTGCATTCCTCGATGTGCCATTTGCATTGTTCGAGTTACTATCAAAACTGAAGGCTTCAGGTTCGGGACCAGCATCATTTGTATTCTTCTTGACATCCCATACTCTGACCGTATTATCTGCGCCACTACTTACCAACACGCCTCCATCTCTAGAAAATGCTAATGAATAAATTGATGATCTACCATGTCCTCTCATAGTTTTCAATCTTCTACCGGAACCCGCATCCCATATATTAACTACCCCATCTTCACCAGCACTGGCTAACCATCTTCCATCATTGGAAACTGCCATGCAATTAACTGGGCCAGTGTGTCCCATAAATATACGCACAGAATTACCAGTTTGGACATCCCACATACGGCACGTTTTATCTGACGATCCAGTGAACACATAATTTGAATTAGGGTGGAATTCTATACAATCAACATCGTTGATATGACCTGCAAATATTCTCAATGGGTAAATATGGTCCGTAGCCCACAATCTTGCGGTTTGATCATGAGAAGCAGTGGCAAAGTAGTGACCAAATGGGGAGAATTTAACATCCCAAATAGGTTGATTATGCCCCTTATAAGATACCAATGCAGAATACGAATCCAATGACCATAATCGAACAGTTTTGTCCTCGGATCCAGAAATTAAGTATCTGTTGTCTGGAGAAAAAGACACCCCATAAACCGGCCCACTATGCCCTATTAATTTACGGCTATTGTCATTGTTGTATTTGTCCTTTTTAAATACTGACTTTAAAGGCTTTCCGTCTAGACTCCATAATTTTATAAAACTATCCTGGAATCCGGCAGCCATTAAATTAGAATCATCATTGAAATCCAAACAAGTCATATCATTGTTAGTATTATGAAATGTGTACATACAGACCGAAGGGGCACTTGCTTGTATAGCACCTAATTTGATTTTTGATCTAGAATCTTCAACGGCTAAAATTTGTCTCTTAATGTCCGAAGCGTCTTTTAAAGGTAACGGTAATGATTCTCTTGCTGGTGAGTCATCTTCGACGGAGGTTATTTCTTGAAACTCGTCGACTAACGATTTTTCATTAACTGGATCTGTTTTTTCGTCTTTAACCTTTAACTCAGCTTCAATTTCCTTTTGCACTTCCGGATCCATTGGTAATTTACCTAATTTAACCGGTTGTTCATTGAATTTATCAATTTCGTTGGTTTTAGTGATATAGTCGGGTATACCCTCATCTGGGTTAGCTTCACCTTCCTGATCAACCTTATCAGGTTTCGTAGTTGAAATAATTGGGTTTAGATATTGATTAATAATACGAATTAAAATCGCCCCACCAACCGCTTCATTTTCATGTAAGAAATATAATAATAAATTAATAGAAGTCTTGGAGACTATAATTCTATACTTATTATTTCTGTAAGCCTGAGCCAATTCGTTTTCTTTCAAGTGTTCCGGTAATGAAATGCCTGCTAGTTTATTGATTTCTAATCCGTGCAACATAACATGGTCGCCTTTGAATTTATCCAAAAACCTCTTAGCTTGCGATGAAAAGTTTTTAGCGATCAATTCTAAGAAACAATGAATGAATATCGGATATAATAATCTTGATAATTCTGGCTTATATAAATCTAAAGAAGTTTCCACCCAACTTCTCAACATAGAATAGACTCTATAATATATTTCTGGATCATTTTCACGCCTTTGTTTCTCTTCATAATCTCTTAAGTCCCTTAATTCCTTTTCCTTCGCAAGCCTAAACTCTCTATCTCTCGAATCTCTCAATTCACGCTCTATTCTAGCTTGTTTATCTCTCAATTCTCTTAATTCTCTTTCATGTCTACTTGTTTTGTCTTTCAAGTCCTTCTCTCTTCTAGATATTTCAACAGGACTAGCTATATTAGACGTTGCAGGACTAACTGATGGCACTGATGGAGTTGGTGTATTTGAACTTTCTAATCTAAGCATAGATTCGGTTTTATTGTAACCCTTTTTATTAAGGTATTCCAACACAATACGGTTCAAGTCTGCTTGTGAAAACTGTGGTTGCGGACCTCTAGGGGGTTGCAGTGTTGTCAGAGGTTGTTGTTGTGGTCTTGCATTGCCTTGTTGGGGTCGTACCAGTTGTTGACCTGTCCTCGAATTTAGCGGAGTAGATTGTTGATTGCTATTAGAATCATTAGATTGATTGTTATCCATTTTATTTATGTACGTGCTTCTGCTAGGACAACTTTTGGAAATGTATTAATCGTAAATGTTTAACAAATATAACCGACACCTTTAGTATGGTTAGAATAGTTTTGTCGATTGAACTTCGGCCGCGACATTACACGACGACATTATTGCGACATTTAGTTATTTCCTTCTATATAGTATATTCTAGTAAAGTATGAATTAGAACAACATGACAATTGTATTAGAGAAAACTAACTTGTATTTAGAATGGGTTTAGCAATATCCCAAGGGCCCTGTAGTTCATTTTTGTATTTTTGAAGGAATAAAAAGTAATTAGGCATTATGAATGCTATTCCTGCTTGAGTTAATACCCACACAATTAAAGCATTATATCCGATTATGATAGAAATTAAGTAATATACAACGCCTGATACAGATAGGACTAAACATCTGTGGTAAGTTTTAGTTCGTAAATGCTTCCGTATACTGAAATCAAAGAGTGGTAAAAGGATATTAATCTGAATTGCAAATAGTATGAAGCAAAACACTTGCACTGTAGAATTGAGTCGTGACGCAAGTACGATAGCATTGGATAACGATATGTTAGTGGAAATTATAGGCATATACTGGCTGCTTGTAGTATCAACCCCATAGTCATGGAAAATGGTATTTGCAAGGCATAAAATAAGCGATAATGCCCATATAGAATCAGACGAAGTAGACTTGGTTAAGGACTTCAATACTGGAGATAGCAACAAGATAATGAAAATAATGATTAGAAAGGATTTAACTTTTGGTTTGGGACCAGAAGCGAGTGCTGGCGACGAGATTGGAATTGGGTAATATCCTTCATTTTTACGGTCAGCTAACGAGCTATTGATTTGATCCCATATTATGAAGCCAATTATAGAACAGCAACTGCTCATGAGGGTCGGCCAAATAGAATTCCAATACTGTAGGTAAATTCCCGTAAATATCAAAATTACGAGCAATAGATTGGATAAATGAAATGCAACTAAGGTGAAGTCGTCAACCAAATTCCAGTACGAGTATTTGGAAACAGTGGTATTTCTTTTTAACTGGGCAAGAAAAGATTCATTCGTGTAGTTATCTGGATAAGGCTGCTGTAAATAGAGCAATTTTTTCCAAGGCTTCAGTTTTCTTTTTATTGGAGATCTAGAGCGGGCCTTACGCAAATTTTGTTTGGAATTCTGTATTTCAGGCGGAATGGACTGGTTATTAGGTACTTTTAAAGAGCTCATATCGGCATGCCATTGAATTAATTCGGGTTTTAACGTATGAAATTTAGAACTGAGATTATGTTTGTTTCATCCCATTCGATAAATGTAAATTGGTGAAAGGATTGTTGTTTATCCCGCTGAGTATTAGTGTCTATGAATAATCTATGATGTGCTTATACAAAAATAATTCTGTGATAGTATAGTTCCAACAAAATATTTACTCAGTTAAATCAAATGCGCAAAAAAATAATATAATCGTATTCAATACTTTGATAGTATGATTAATAAACTATTTTGAATACAGCATGATTAGAGACAATACCGACAAACTATCTGTGCCTCATCACTCTTATAATGCGTCTACCTCATCGACGTCGAGTATTGGACCTACTGGATATAATATCGGTCATAGGGCAAATAAATCGGCATCTAGTACTACACGATTATCTCGAACAAACACTAACAATACAGACACATATAGTAATGATGTACAAAGTATAAAGACCACAGACAGGTTACCCACAGCAAAACCTAGTGTAACGTATCTGGATAAACTTTGGACTCAAATTGATGTCCTAGACGATGTCAAGAATATGTCCCACCAGGTTAGGCTAAAAGGGTCATTTTTTAACGACACATTTAATGAAGAACTCGAAAAATTGAAATTACTGCAGAATAAGTTATTCGAGGTGATGTCCAACCAGCATTTCAAGGGTTACTCGGATAAAGATTACCAAAAACAATTGTACAAACTTAATGTGGCCACTCCTAATGCCAGTACTCCGCAACTCCTCAAGCAAATTTCCGAAGAAGGTAAAAACCCCGAAAACGAAAGGTTAACTGAGTTTTTTGCTAATAATGCCGAAGACCTGAAGCACCTACTATATAAGAAACAGAACTTTGACGAAATTAACCACTTTGTGGAAGAAGTAAAGGTCAACTTGGATAATGTTGGTCAATCCATGAAGAAATTTGACGAAAGTACCAGAGATTTATGGTAATCTAATTTGATTTCATAGAGAGATCTTCCAGGTCTCTCTGAATACTATATATTTCAGATCTCTGGTATTTGTACTACACTTGCATATGTAAGTTATATTGTGGTCTTCGCATTACCAAATTCAGAATCCCGACATAATCACCACGCCATAATAATGAAAATTATTTTAGAGACTAGGCGTTTAAAACGCTAGTAAACCTCCACTATTTTTCACAGCTTTTGTAACGGGATTGCTTTTCTGGCATTCTGGAGTACATTTGTGGACCATGGGGATTCAAACGGATGAGCATTGTCCGCTATTCGCGGAAAAACTAGTAACTGCGCATATTGTCGGATTAATATTACGTGGACCAAATTAGAGTTTTCAGTATAAAACTTTGAGTTTACATATTTAGAGTAAAATATATATGGATAAGCTAGTAGCTGACGCTATTCCGGTCTACATGAATATATTTTTTGGATTATAAGATCCTATGGCGGACTTCTGGATTGTAAAATATATTGCGTCACGGTGTTCAGCAATATTCCGAGATTGTGAGCCCCGTCTTATCGTCGATTTTTTTTTGCTTCTCAACTGATAATTCGTCACTATATCGAAGTGTTATTATCGAAGCACTACAGGTTCGTATATAAACTCAGAAATTTTCAAATTGTGAAACGAAGTATTTGATTTTATATTTTAATTTTATTTTCATAAATCTCTGTACTTAATATTAAAAGAAAATGGTGCACTTAGGTCCAAAACCTCCACAACACAGAAAAGGTACTTTTACCGATGTTCCTGAAGATCTCATGAAACAGTTGAATGAGTTAGAAGAATTATTGACTGTTTCTCCAGACACCTTAAAAAAAATTACTGACCACTTCATTGGTGAATTAGAAAAGGGGTTATCCAAGCAAGGAGGTAATATTCCTATGATCCCTGGATGGGTTTTAGATTTCCCAACTGGTAAGGAGAAGGGTGATTATTTGGCTATTGATTTGGGTGGAACTAACTTGAGAGTTGTGTTAGTTAAGTTAGGTGGTAATAGAGATTTCGATACTACTCAATCTAAGTTCTCATTACCAGAAACGATGAGAACTGCAACTTCTGATGAATTGTGGACTTTCATTGCCGAATGCTTGAAGAAATTCGTGCAAGAAGAATTCCCACAAGGGTGCACTAAACCTTTACCATTAGGTTTCACTTTCTCTTACCCAGCAAGTCAAAAGTCTATCAACACTGGTGTTTTACAAAGATGGACTAAAGGTTGGGATATCGATGGTGTTGAAGGCCATGATGTTGTTCCAATGTTACAAAAGGCTATTGAGAAAGTTGACGTTCCAATCAACGTTGTTGCTTTGATTAACGATACCACTGGTACGTTAGTTGCTTCCATGTATACCGATGCTGAGACCAGAATGGGTTTGATCTATGGTACTGGTTGCAATGGTGCCTACTATGATGTTGTTGGTGATATTCCAAAGTTGGAAGGAAAGATGCCAAGCGACGTTGACCAAAGTGCCCCAATGGCCATCAATTGTGAATATGGTGCGTTTGACAATGAACTTGTTGTGTTACCAAGAACCAAGTACGATATTCTCATCGACAAACAATCTCCAAGACCAGGTCAACAATCTTACGAAAAGATGATTTCTGGTTACTACTTAGGTGAAGTGTTGAGATTGATCTTACTTGACTTAGCCAAGGAAAAGAAATTGATCTTTAAGGGTCAAGATTTATCTAAGTTAGAAACCGAATTTATCTTAGATACCTCGTTCCCATCTAAGGTCGAAGAAGATCCATTTGAAAATTTAAGTGACACTTCTGAATTATTCCAAAATGAATTAGGTATTCAAACCACTTCGCCAGAAAGAAAGATCATTCGTCGTCTTGCTGAATTAATCGGTGAAAGATCTGCTAGATTATTCGTCTGTGGTATTGCCGCAATTTGTAAGAAGAGAGGCTACAAGACTGCCCATTGTGCTGCTGACGGTTCCGTTTACAACAAATACCCTGGTGTCAAGGAAAGAACTGCTAAGGCCTTAAGAGATATTTTTGAATGGGAAACTGAAGAAGACCTCATCACTATTGTCCATGCTGAAGATGGTTCCGGTGTTGGTGCTGCAGTTATCGCTGCTTTAACCGAAAAGAGATTGGAACAAGGCTTATCTGTTGGTATTCAAGATTAAGCTTACCTGTAAATAATTCTTTAGAATTAGATAGTTAATTGCAAAAAACATGTACTGGTTATAACTAATAAAATATATCACGTGATTGAACTCTGCTTCATCTAAAAATTAGTCCACGATAGAACTGATGTATGGCGTATACGCTACGTTGATCAACACCAGAGAATAATGTCAGGTATATATAATGAGCCTGAGCTCCATAGTGATATAAATTTACAAGATAATAATGATGTCGAAACTGAGAAATTTGTAGAAGAAACATCAGAATTTTTAAATGAAGTTTTGCTTCTGAACAACCAAGACGAAGAGATCAAGGATACCACAGGCAACCAACTGTCATCAGAAGACGTTAGTTACGCAGATGCAATAAACGCAAGCATGTTTCCCCTTCAAGAAGAAAAAGAAGAGTCAGTGTATAATGTAAATTTATGGTCAATTTTAAGAAAAAGTTCAATTAACTTGATTTTGCCATTCATCAATGGTATGATGTTGGGCTTTGGGGAAATATTGGCACACGAAATAGGGTTCCGTTATAACTGGGTTGGTGCTAAAGTAGAGCCCCCAAGAAGAATTATTCGTAAAAATAAACAAAATCAATCTGCCTTCTTATAACGGCTTAATGTTCTATATACATTGTTTAGTTACATACAATTTAATTCTATGGTCATGACGTGAAAGGATAACGTTAATAAATACAGTCTGTAACAGTGCTGATAGCACGATTATTGCAATAAATTCTGGACCGTAATTCTCCGAGATATTCTTTTTGAGTAGCCTTCCCGGTTTTTGACGGAAAATTATACCAGAATTAAAATTATATTATGAACTTCTTCTAAGTAAACAAGCATTGTTGATTATCTATATAATCTAAAGACTTAACGGTATATTTCACTAACCATTGGAATGTCAGGTAACAAAGCTAACGAAAGAATCGAAACCGATGCGTTCGGAGAAATCTCCGTTCCAAACGATAGGTATTGGGGTGCCCAAAGTCAAAGATCGTTAGGTAATTTTGATATCGGTGATGTTAAAATGCCAGAATCCATTGTTAAATCATTTGGTGTTTTAAAGAAGGCTGCTGCAATTGTTAATGAAGAAATCGGTGCGTTAGACCCTCTGTTAGCTAAGGCCATCAAAGAGGCTGCAACTGAAGTTGCGGAAGGTAAATTGACGGAACATTTCCCATTAGTAGTTTACCAGACAGGATCCGGCACTCAATCGAACATGAATGCCAATGAGGTTATTTCAAATAGAGCAATCGAGATTTTGGGCGGTGAAATGGGTTCAAAGTCTCCTGTTCATCCAAATGATCATTGTAATATGTCCCAATCTTCAAACGATACTTTTCCAACAGTTATGCATATTGCAGCCGTTACTGAGATCAGCAACAAGTTAATTCCTTCTTTAAAACAGCTTCGTGATGCATTTGATGCCAAGGCAAAAGAATTCGAAAAGATCATTAAAATCGGTAGAACTCATTTGCAAGATGCTACACCATTAACTTTGGGTCAAGAATTCTCAGGTTACGTTCAACAATTAAGTTTTGGTATTGAACGTATTCAACAAACCCTTCCAAGATTATCATACTTAGCTCAAGGTGGTACTGCTGTTGGTACTGGTTTGAATACTTCAAAGGGTTTTGATGTTAAGGTTGCGAAAGAAGTTTCTAATCTTACTGGGTTGAAATTCCAAACTGCTCCAAACAAATTCGAAGCTTTAGCTGCACATGACGCCTTTGTTGAAGCTTCAGGTGCCTTAAATACATTAGCTGTATCTCTTTTCAAGATTGCTAATGATATTAGATACTTAGGGTCTGGTCCAAGATGTGGATACGGCGAATTATCCTTACCAGAAAATGAACCAGGTTCCTCTATCATGCCAGGTAAGGTTAACCCTACCCAATGTGAAGCTATGACTATGGTTTGTGCGCAAGTTATGGGTAACCATACTACTATCACTTTTTCAGGTGCATCTGGTCAATTTGAATTGAATGTTTTCAAGCCTGTCATGGCTAGCAACTTATTATCTTCGATTAGATTAATTGGTGATGCGTGTAGGTCATTCAGAGTCCACTGTGTTGAAGGTATTGTTGCCAACGAGGAAAAAATTTCAAAGGTCTTAAATGAATCCTTAATGTTGGTTACAGCCTTGAACCCAAAGATTGGTTACGACAATGCTTCCAAGGTCGCCAAAAATGCCCACAAAAAAGGACTCACCTTAAAGCAATCCTGCTTAGATTTAAACATGTTGTCCGAAGAAGAGTTCGACCAATGGGTCAGACCAGAAAATATGCTTGGTCCAAAATAATCAATATGTATTTACAGTTCTATATACACTAATATACAAAAATCATTCTTCGTCGGATTTTTGGTCGTCCTTTTCACTGAACAACTCGTATGCCCTATTTTTCCCAATGGGAAACCTCTTTTTCCTACCGCAAGTGTTGCATGAATGAACCAACAAGTCATTATGTGGTGCTTTTTCTTTTGATAAATTTTCTATTTCGATAGTTTCATTGACCCCCGGGACTAATATGGTCTGACATCCTTTGCATATCGTCCTTTTCAATGCTGGTGTGAGTTTTGTCACCGATTTCTTAGAAATCAAATTCACATTTCTGGCCATTGCCCTTGATAGTATCCCATATTTCAGTGTCGCTGCAAAATGGATTGATGCCTGATATAAATATGATATTCTTGCATAATTATCTATATGAGGAACATTCTTGGATGTAGCTTTACCTTGTTTTTTAGGACCCATGAAGCATATAGATAAATCCTTCCAGTTTATATGACGACTATTGAAAAAATCATATTCCTCAAAGCCGCGACATTTTAGTGACCATGTCGTCGTTCTATGGTGAGCCTTAGTATGAACACAGTGAGATTTTATCTAACAAGCCTTGCAAAAATCAATCTATTCTCTATAATCTTAATATAATTATTGATATTTATACTTATAATGAGTGGTTACGATAGTGCTTTATCTATTTTTTCGTATGTATTATGATTGAAACGCAATTGATATAGTTCTGTTTAAATTCAGGAATCTTGCCACCCAATTTACAAAACGAGTACTAACTAATATTCAACTAGGCCTGATGGACATGTTTTCCGTATGTATACGTTGGATTTGAAAGATATCGTTGAATGATGAATTACTAACTAATAATTAGAGGTTGAATATGCTTCAGAAGCAGTTAAAAGAGGGACGTGTGCTGTTGGTGTTAAAGGTAAAGAAACAGTGGTATTAGGGTGTGAGAAGAGAACAACATTAAAATTACAAGATCCACGTATTACACCTTCGAAGATATGTAAGGTTGACAACCACGTCTTGCTAGCATTTGCTGGGTTAAATGCAGACGCAAGAATCTTGGTTGATAAGGCCAGAGTCGAAGCCCAATCGCATAGATTAACATTGGAAGATTCTGTGACCGTTGAATACTTAACCAAATACGTAGCAGGTGTTCAGCAAAAATATACCCAATCGGGTGGTGTTAGACCATTCGGAATTGCCACCATAATCGCTGGTTTTGATAGTAATGACAATGTCCCAAAATTATATCAGACTGAACCATCGGGGGTCTACAATGCATGGAAAGCTCACGCCATCGGTAGATCGTCTAAAACTGTAAAGGAATTCTTAGAGAAGCACTATGAAGAAGACATGAGTGATGAGCAAACTATTAAATTGACAGTAAAGTCGTTATTAGAAGTGGTTCAGACAGGAGCCAAAAATATCGAAGTTTCTGTTTTGAAATCGGGTGACAGAATTGAAAAATTATCTGTTGATGAAATTAAGAAGTACGTTGACGAGATTGAAGCCGAAATTGAAGCGGAAGCACAAAAGAAGAAGCCAAAATCTAGAGATGCGTAGAATAAATCGTTTTAATGTATTCTAATGAATGATAGCACTATAAATGAATAAATTGTGTAAGTTATAAAGTTTAATAAAATTTGCAATCTAGACTATTATCCTTTGCGACGTGAGGACGTTAATAGGACAAGTTCGTAGTAACGTAGTTACATAGTACAGACCAATGAAACTGAAGTCCTACATGATTAGGGTATATGCTATTCCATTTGAATTATTAGAATACAAATTAATATACATTAATTCTCTGTGAGAAATCTTATGAAGAAAAATTACTTTCTGGTTTTCGCCCTTTTCGATTTGGCAGATTTAGTATCATTCTTCCTCTTCTTATCTGCTGGATCTTTTGGTTTAGGTACAGACTGGAAAAATCCATCCAATCTCCCCTGAACCCCACCTTTCAAACCTTTCTTTAATTTTTCTGCACCACTTCTTATTCTATCTTCGCTGAAACCTTTTTCTTTGACCATATATTGGATAAGTCCCTCCACGTCCGGTTCTTTCCACTTTAAATTAACTTCACTGGCATCGATTGTGTCCGGTTTAATAAATAACTTTCTGGCTTCATCATAGGGCCAACCTTCAGGAACTTTAAAATTAGTCTTATCAGGATTATTTGTCAAGTATTCAACTATTTTGTCTAAAGAGCCATGCTCCTTAATTAATTTGAATGCAGTCACAGGCCCAACACCTCTAATTGTTTCACAATAATCACAACCTAATAGGATACATAAATCAATAAATGTTTCTCTGTCCATCTCTAAGGCTTCTAAAACTTTTTCGTATTGGATTTGGTCAATTGGCATTTTTCTTGCTTCTGAGAAGGTTAAATGCCTCAATAAGAAAGGAGGCTGGTAACATATGGTATCCATATCTTCTGATGCGGCTGCAAAGACTTTCCCACCTCTAGCTAATTCCGCACATTGTGCTTCTGCTTCACACGGCGCATTAACATAAGGTATACCCATTAATTCTAATAACTTTTTAGCTTCGTCATTTTGTTCTCTAGTAACTCTGACTGTCCGTTTCTCGTATCTCACCATATCCTCAATCGTAGCTTCATCTTTTATGTTTTCTCTTTGCTTAATTGCTTCTTCTCTTCTAAGCAATCTTTTTTCTAATTCACCCCCTTTCAAAACTGGTGGTTTTCCATCAAAAACATACACAGGCTTGATACTATTTTCAACTAAACGAATTGTACGGTAGAACATACCCAGTAAATGGGAGGTGGTTTCACCCTCTTCATTGGTTAATTGTTGACCCTCGGCCTGTCTAACAGCTATTAAGAATTGATATAAGCACATGGAAGCATCAATGGCAATCTTTCTTCCAAATAAATTTTTCAATTGAAATTCTTTGAATGCTTCAGGAGCATGTTCCTTTATTAACTGATTGAGTCCTGATGAATACGTTAGTTTTCTAATACAATGATTCATCTACATATTATACATACCTTTAACACCCATGGTTAACTTATATAATGGTAATAGATTTCTTCTAATCTGAAAAAGTTATCTTTTTTAGTACGCGTTATATATACTGCGCGTTATGATATTGTAGCTCTTACTTCATAGGTATTGATACATTATTCTATATACGGTAAAGTTGACTAAAGAAGAGATTGATAAATAACATGAAATTACATCGAAGTAACTGTAAATGACCAATTACCATTAACAGGATCGTAGGATTTGAAATCCATAGCAGGTAATGTTTTCAAGTTTTCAATATGACGACGAACAAATTCACTCTTTGGATCAAGTATAGGCAACTTGTCGGCTTTGCTGATAGGATAGCACCCTTCAAGAGTTATCTTTGCTGGAAGATTCAATCCTTCTCCTTCTTGTGGTTTATTGTCATCTGGGTAAACTATGCAAGATTTGGATCCAAAGATTATAAGATTGCCGGTTATATCATCCACATTTACAAGACTAGATAAATCGACGGGTTCCAAAAATTCAATCTGACCGTAATGTTTACGACCGACTATGAAGTTATCTACTGAACGTAATTCAGACAAAGATTTCTTTTTTAATTCAGATATAGATGGGGATGTCCAATAGCCGTCATCGTCAAATTCGATTCTTGCTGCCTCTCCATTAGCCGCTGGAATCGTTATCGTTTCCAACATTTTAGGGTTTGATTCATCATTCTTATCAGCATCATATTCAGAACCTTCATCTTTATTCAAAACAAACGAAACCTGTTTGGATGGAGTGTATTGAGTTTGACCAGCCGAGAGTAACGAATTATTACTGCTTGGAGATTTAGACTTATCTAAGACCAACTCCTTGAAACTTGCTTTAGGTGCAAAAATGTCAGAAGATATGATTGCTTTATCAGTGCCCTGAGTGAATATATTTTCCTTGTTCTCGGAACTAGACATTGGAACATTAGATGCACTAAGAGGGCTTGGTGATTTCTTGGGTAAAGCGCTTGGTTTGAATAATGGCGCAATTCTATGTGCTGTTGCTAAAGTAACTGGCTTCTTAGAACTGGCTGAAGCATTAACTGGAGTCGCACTTGGAATACCACCATTATTCAGTTGTTGAGCGCCAGTAATGCTCTGGAATAATGGATTATCACCGTATGGGTTTTGTTTACTAATATTAGCCAAAGGTTGTTGCTGCTGTTGTTGTTGACCTGGCTGGCCTTGGGCTTGATTATTATTAGATCCGAAAAGACCGCCACCAAGTCCAGAATTAGTATTATTTCCACCAAACAATCCACCAGTTGATGGTGCATTATTACCTGTAGCCAGCTTGCTTCCAAATAATCCACCACTACCGGTACTATTGTTTGAACCTAACGTACTCGTCCCCGTATTGTTGTTGCTTCCAAACAAACCTCCCGATGTAGTTGTTCCTGTATTATTATTGTTACCACCAAATAATCCTCCAGAGCTACCTGTTGTATTATTATTGCTTCCAAACAAGCTTCCCCCAGTATTGGCTGTGCCAGGTGGTTTACTACCAAATAATCCCCCACTAGTATTGTTACTTTGATTATTGCCAAATGCGTTGGATGTGTTATTAGCATTATTTTGCGATCCAAATAATCCACCAGTAGTCCCTGCAGGTTTGTTTCCTCCAAAAAGGCCTCCACCAGTATTAGCATTGTTGTTTTGGGCAGTATTACCAAAAAGTCCGCCAGAGGGAGCTGCAGTATTTTGATTACCTCCAAATAAGCCTCCAGACGGAGCTGCTGGTTTATTTCCAAACAAACCACCTGAATTGTTATTTGTATTGTTGTTTTGTCCAAATAATCCACCGCTTGTATTATTTGTATTACTTTGGCCTCCAAATAATCCACCGCCTGCATTATTAGTATTACTTTGGCCACCAAATAATCCACCAGTTGCTGGTTTATTAGCGCCAAATGATCCACCGGCTTGGGCATTGTTTTGGGTGTTACCGAATAATCCGCCGCCAGAA